GAAAACTTGCACCGGTGTTGCGCTTTCCCATCCTATCCCCTATCTGAGTCCTTCACTAGCTTCATTCTCTTGCTTAAACAAAAAAAGTTTTATTATGTATTTATATGTCCCTATAAAATACACTCTTCAGTTTCGCATGTTTTTCTGCTTTATGCAAATGAGATTATATTTAATGTAGTCTCTGGGCTTGTGTTTTTTAATTTTATTTTTATTATTATATTTTGTTGATTATTCTATTAACAGTTGTCCTGATTTTACCGCCCCCCCCTCCACCCAGCACCCCACACTCCCTCAGGCAATTCACACACCTTTGTTCATGTCTATGGGTCATGCCTTCGTTATTTGGCTACTCCATTTCCTATACTGTACTTTACATCCCCATGGCTATTCTGTAACTACCTATTTGTACTTCTTACTCTCCTCACCTCTTTACCCATTTCCCCACACCCCACTTCCCCACAGCTGGCAATCATCAAAACGCTGTCTGTAGCCATGATTTCTATCTCTGTTCTTCTTGTTTACTTAGTTTGTTTTTTAGATTCAGTTGTTGATAGATATGTATTGCCATTATATTCTTCATAGTTTTTATCTTTTTCTTAAATAAGTCCCTTTAACATTTTATATAATAACGGTTTGGTGATGATGAACTCCTTTAGTTTTTTCTTGGCTGGGAGGCTCTTTATCTGCCCTTCAATTTTAAATGATATCTTTGCTGGGTAGAGCAATCTTGGCTGAAGGTCCCTGCTTTTCATGACTTTGAAATATTTTTTGCCAGCCCCTTCTAGCCTGCAAAGTTTCTTTTGAGAAATCATCTGACAGCCTTATGGGAATTCCTCTGTACGTAACTAACATCTTTTCTCTTGCTGTTTTTAAGATTCTCTCTTTATCTTAAACCTTTGGTGTTTTAATTATGTTGTGTCTTGAAGTGGGCCTCTTTGGATCTATCTTGTTTGGGGCTCTCTGTGCTGCCTGGACTTGCATGCCTTATTTCCTTCACCAAACTAGGGAAGTTCTCTTGCATTATTATGTCAAACAGAGTTCCAATTTCTTGTTCTTTCTCTTCTTCTGGCACCCCTATGATGCAAATGTTGGGTCACTTGAAGCTGTGTAAGAGGCTGCTTACACTAGCCACTTTTTTTTTTGTTTTGGTTTAGTTTTTGGATTCTTTTTCCTTCTTGTTGCTCTGATTAGTTGTTTTTTGCTTCCTTATGTTCCCAAGCATTTTTTTGATTCTAAGCTTCATCCACTCTACTGTTGTTTCCCTATAAATTGTTCTTTATTTCAATTAGTAGTATCCTTTGTATCTGGCTGGATCTTTTTTAGGCTGTTGAGGTCTTCACTAAGTTCCTGGAGCATCCTTACAACCAGTGTTCTGAACTCTGTATCTGATAGATTGCTTATCTCCATTGCATTGAGCTCCTTTTCTGGAGTTTTGATGTGTTCTTTCATTTGGGCCGTGTTTCTTTGCTCATTTTGGCAGCCTCCTTGTGTTTGTTTCTTTATATTCGGTAGAGCTGCTTTGATGCCCTGTTTCGTTAGAATGGCCTAATATAGTAGGTGTCCTTTAGGGTCCAGTGGCACTGCCTTCCCTATTACTCAAGCTGGGTACTTGAGGTGTAACCTTTGTGTGGGCTGAGTACACCCTCCTCTTATAGTTGAGCTTTCATTGCTGTTGGCAGGTCAATGGAAGGGATTTATCCAGGCAAATCAGCTACAAGGACTGGCTGTGACCACTGACCACCAGCCTCTGCACTCTGTGGAGGATCAGCTGTGCCAGAGCAGGGTGATGGTGCTCCAGTGTGGTCTATAGCTGTAGCCACTGGGTGAGCAGGCTCTGGGGTCTCCCAGGTGTGCGGGCAAAGGTCAGCCCCGACCTATGTTTTGCCTGGGACCACCCTGTCTGACTATAAAGCAATCTGAGATGGCTGCTGCTTGTGCTGGGCTTGGAGATTCCCAGGTAAAGCCAAGCTGTGAATCTAGGCTTGTTGCCTCTAGTGGCGAGCCTGGGACCACTTAGCAAGAGGTACAGGGGCTGGGTGCTCACTGAGGCTGGCGTTGCTTGTTTGATAGGATTTAGGGAGTAGTGAAGCATGAGCCAAAACCAGCCATTCATATGGAAAAGCAACTTGGGTGGGCCCATAAGTTGGGTGGGACAGAGTCTGGGGGGGTCTCCAGTATGGGCAAACAGTGTTAGCCAGGTTGATGTAGTCTCAGATATGACACCAGCCTGCCAGCTCTGTGGCTCTGTGCTGGGAAGGCTCAGAAAAGAGACAATAGCCTCTGCCCACCTTTCTCTCTGGGAGAAAGCTGTCCCCAGCTCTCACCTTGATGCCAGACACTTCTGTCCCTCTTTGTATGCCACTGGTGCCTTTCAGGCTGCTACCCTGGCAATGGAACCCAGAGGGAGTGAGTTTGAGCAGCTGAGTCTGTTTAAGAGAAACTGCTTGGGACTCCAAAAGTTTCTTCCATTGATTCAATCCCTGCCAGTTTTCGCAGCCAGAAGTTATGGGGACTTATCTTCCTGGCACTGGAACCCTGGGCTGGGGGCCCTGGTATGGAGCTGGGATTCCTTGCTCCTGAGATATTCCTCCCATACTTTTATCCGTCGCATGTGGATGTGGGACCAGACCATTCCACATCTCCACCACGCACCCCACCCCCCCCCCCGCCCCGCAACCAGTGTAGATGGATGTGGTTTAATTTCGTAGTTGTCGGACTTCTAGTTCTGACACTTCTGAGTGATGGTTGTCCTGTAATTTAGTTTTAATTTTGATATGCTTGTGCAAAGAGGTGAGCCATATTTACCTATGCCACCATGTTGCTTGTGTTTTTTTAAACTAATGACTTTATTAAGATATAGTTTATATACCATGCAATTCATTCTCATTCAGCATTCACATACTGAAGTGTACAGTTCAGTAGTTTTTAGTATATTCACAGAATTGTGCAACCCTACCAAAAATCAAATTTGGTACATTGTCACTACCCTGAAAAGAAACCCCATATCTGTTAATAGTTACCCCTTTTCTTCTCTAGCCAAATCACTAACCTATTTACTGTCCTTTAGATTTGCCAGTTTTGAAATCATATAATGTGGTGTTTTTTGGCTGGTGTCCTTCACTCAGCATAATATTTTCAAGATTCATCTATGTAGTAACATGTATCAGTACTTTATTTCTTTTTTTATGGCTAAATGTATTCCATTGTATAGATATGTCACGTTTTGTTTATCCACTCATCAGATGGTAGACATTTGAGTTGTGTCTGCTTTTGGCTGCTATGAATAATAATGCTACTGTTAACATTCATGTACAAGGGCTATGTGCATATGTGCTTTCATTTCTCTTGGGTATGCAACGTGGAGTAGAATTACTGGGTCATATGATGTATAAGGTAAGGCAGGGCAGCAGGCTGGAAACTCACTCAGGATTTCTGTTACAGTTTTGAGGTAGAATCCCATCTTCTCCAGGAAACCTTGGTTTTCACCCTTAATACCTTCTGCTGATTGGATGAGGTACCCCCCGACATTGTATTCTTTACCTAAGTTCAACTGATTGTAAATGTTAATCACATCTACAAAATATCTTCACAGCAGCATCTCTGCTAGTGCTTGACCAAACAACTGCACACCAAAACCCAATCAAGTTGACTTATAAAATTAGCCATCACATAGAGTAACTTTATGTTTAACCTTTTGAGGAACTGCCAGACTGTTTTCCAAAGCAGCTGTACCCTTTCCATTCTCATTAGCAGTGTATGAAGGTACTGATTTCTTCATATCCTCACCAACACTTGCCGTTAAGTCTTTTTGATTATATCCATCCTAGTGTAAAGGCATATCTCATTGTGGGGATTTGCTTTTTTAAATTTAATATTATATTTCTAAGATTTATCTGTGTTGTCACATGTAGCTGGTCATTCATTTCACTGTGGTATAATATTGTGTTAATTACCACAGTTTGTTCATTGCTTTATTATGGATAGTGGGTTTTTTAATAATTCTTTTACTTCTATAAATAGAATATTCTTGTGCCAATGTGCAGGAGTTTCTCTAAAGAATATGTGTATATCCCAAAGTGGAATTACTGGCCTGTATGGTATATAATACTCAAGTTTACAAGATAATGCCAACATGTTCTCCAAATGTCTCTATCAGTTTACACTCAAATTATCAAAGTGTAAGATTTCTGTCAGTGCACATTTTTCTACCACTTGGAATCATCAGACCTGTTTTACTAGTTTCATGGGTTTCTTGATTTACAGCTCCCATATTTTAATGAGATTAAGCATATTTTTATAGATTAATCATATAATTGTTTTTTGTTGAAATGCTTTTCATGTCTTTTGTCCATTTAAAGAAATTGGGTCATTTTCTTATAGAAGTATGTGCGGATTCTTTGTATATTCTAGATATTAATCTCATATCAATTATACTATATATTTTGACATCTGGGTTTTTTTTCTTTTATGTGTTTTTGATGAGCAGAAGTTGTTGATATCTAATGTAATTTGTCATTAATGCTATAGTTTATACTTATTGTATTTTAGAAAATATTTTTACATGTTTAACCATCTCATTCTTGTGGCTAAGCATAGTTACAATTTTTCTCCCATTTCTCAAACAATTAGCTTATCAAAATCAATAGGGATTTTCCTCCATATATAACCTTTTTTCTTAAACACGTCAGAGAATGGAAAAGATTAGAAAAACATCACAGGGTGGTTCATACTCCAAGTCTATGCCTAATAAACAGGATATATACTTAAATTTGGTTAGTGAAATATTCTACAGCTCCTCTAGATGGCAGATGATAGCAAACACATAAAAATTGTGGTCTTCTAACATGTTCATTCCTCTTATAACAAAAGTTGTATTAATGAGCACAGAACACATAATTAAGAGACTGTACTCTCTGTTTTAAGCTATGAGACAGAGACAAATGAAAAAAATTTTGTGTGTTTTGTTTTTTTTTGTTGTTGTTGTTATTGTTGCGACTTAGGAAGAGGACCACCAAGCTCGGGTCGAAGAGGCAATCACCCGCACACTTGTGTGTGCCCTGAAAACTGCAGAGGATCCACACAATACCAGAGCTTGGTTAAACCCAACCGAGGTAGGCCGTTCCTGGTTTCCATCATGGCTGTTAGTTTCCTGTAATACATCAACCCTGACCACATTTTTTTTCCTGTTTATATAATCACCCTAAAATGTTTTTCTTTTTCCTTAGGTTGAGGACACATCCCATGAAGTCAATTGTCTCTACCTAAATAGAGCTGTTTCTGCCTTTTTTGATCATTATGGAACATCTAAGACAATAGAAATTCAAGCACTCAGAACAAACAGAGAGCACATGAAAAAGGAAGAATTAAATGTGCACAACCTCAAGGAGGTAGAACAAACAGGTAGCCAGAACTTAACCCTGGGAACAGTAAAACAGGAGGCTGTAAGTCCCTTTGGCCCTGATTTGGTTCCTGTATTACCAAGTTCTGAAGAACCACCCTCAGAAAGAGGAGACATATTTAAAAATGATGGTAAAGACTTGGCTGGCAAAGATGGAGAACATGTTGGAAAATTGCACTGCACCAAGCAGCAACAAATGATGAGTAAAAATGAGAGTGCAGTTGTTCAACAAATTGCTTCAAATAGTACTGTGGCCCCCTCTGAAGCATGCATTTCTACAGATGATTTGCTGGACTGCTTGGTGCATCCACAAGTAACCAGGATAGTGGCACAACTTTTGATACAAGGAAGAAGTTTATGATTGTAATAGAAAATGGTTTTTTAAAGAATATTTTAAAATATTTTTAAAATAATATAATTTTTAAATAAAAGATGAAACAACAAAAAGTCTGTTTCTACATGTTTATGAATGTACTCATTCTTTATATTTTTTTAATCATGGAAGGAAAATACTTTTATTTTTTATTTGTATTGTTCAAATACATTTGTCTCCATTTTCCCGCCACCGCTTACCCTGCCCTGCCCACCGCCACCTCCCACCCTCAATCCTTCCCCAATTTGGCTTTGTCCATGGGTCCTCCACACATGTTCCTTTCTTTTCCCCGTTAGCCCCCTCCCTTCCTTCCCTCTCATTACTGTCAGTTTCTTTTTTTCTTCAGTGTTGTTTATATTTTCCTTGCTGCTTGTTTTGTTCATTAGGTTCAACTTATAGATCAGGTCATATGGTATTTGTCTTTCACTCCCTGACTTATTTCACTTAGCAGTGTTCTCCAGTTCCATCCATGCTGTCTCGAAAGGTAGTAGTTCTTTCTTTCTACTGTGTAGTATTCCATTTTGTAAATGTACCACAGTTTTCTGATTCACTCATTTATTCATGGGCACTTAGGTTGCTTCTAGAACTTGGTTGTTGTAAAATTGCGCTGCTATGAACACTAGGGTGCATAAGCTCTTTTGAATTGGTGTTTTGGGATTCTTAGGGTATAGTCCCAGCAGGGGAATTGCTGGGTCAAAGGGCAGTTCCATTTTTAGATTTTTGAGGATATTCCAAACTGTTTTCCACAGTGGCTGCACCAGTCTGCATTCCCACCAGCTGTGTACTAGGGTTCCCTTTTCTCTGCAACTTCGCCAGCATTTGTTATTTGTTGATCTGTTTATGATGGCCATTCTTACCAGTGTGAAGTGCTAGCTCATTGTGGTTTTAATTTGCATTTCTCTGATGACTAGTCATGCTGAGCATCCTCTCATAAGTCCCTGGGCCCTGTGTATGTCCTCTGTGGAGAAGTGTCTGTTCGGGCCCTTCTCCTATTTTTTAATTGGATTGTCTGTCTTCCTGGAGTGGATTCATGTGAGTTCTTTATATATTTTGGAGATCAAACCCCTGTCCGAGGTATCATTGGCAAATATATTTTCCCATATGGTTAGTTCCCTTTTCGTTCTGCTGCTGTTTTCTTGAGCCGTGCAGAAGATTCTTGTCTTGATGAAGTCCCATTTGTTTATTCTTTCCTTTATGTCCCTTGATCTAGCAGACATATCGGTGAAAATATTGCTGCATGGGATAACTGAGAGTTTCCTGCCTATGTTTTCCTCTAGGACTTCCATGGTGTGGGGACTTATATTTAAGTCTTTTATCCATCTTGAGTTTATTTTTGTGTATGCTATAAGTTGGTGGTCGAATTTCAGTTTTTTGCGTGCAGCTGTCCGGGTCTCCCAACACCATTTGTTGAAGAGGCCATATTTTACTCCATTATATGCTTCTGCCCCCTTTGTCCAATATTAATTGACCATAAAGACATCGGTTTATTTCTGGGCGCTCTATTCTGTTCCATTCATCCATGTGTCTGTTCTTATGGCAGTACCACACCGTTTTGGTTACAGTGGACTTGTAATATAGTTTGAGGTCAGGTATTGAGATCCCTCCTACTTTGTTCTTCTTTCTCAAAATTGCTGCAGCTATTCAGGGTCATTTATGGTTCCATAAAAATTTTTGAAATGCTTGTTCTGTACCTGTGAAATACATCATTGGTATTTTAATAGGGATTGCATTGAATCTATAAATTGCTTTGGGTAGCATGGACATTTTGATGATGTTAATTCTACCAGTCCATGAACACGGTATATGCTTCCATTTATTTGTGTCTTCCTTAATCTTTCTTCAGTGTTGTATAGTGTTGTACGTACAGGTCTTTTACCTCCTTGGTTAAGTTTTTTCATAGATACTTTATTGTTCTCATTGCTATAGCAAAGGGGATTTTTTTCCCTGATTTCTGATTATGATATTTCATTGTTGGTGACAGAAATGCCTTTGATTTCTGAATATTGACCTGGGAACAGAATTAAGACATTGGTATGAATGGATTCTAAGTGTAAACAGGTAGTAGGAGATAATTTCCTTACTTCATATGAAGAGAAGATTATGACACAGCAAGAGGTTCTGTCTGTTTGCAAAAGAGGAGCCTGAGAGTGAGAAAAGATAGTAAAAGGGGTAGGTTGTCAGCCACCAAGATGCCGGGGTTCCATTTCATCCCACATTTCTTAGATGAGCATGTTGGAGTGAGTGAAATCTATTATTAAATAAAGCACTGACCCCCTAGAGGCCAGAGGGGTTAAAGAATACAAGCTCAGCCTACACCTAAAGTCACAGTATCCAGGTATCAGCAGGGCTGACCTACAGAGTAGACATACTGGCCAGGGCCCATGAGCTTTTCATGGTCCAAAAAAAAAAATTGTTTTAGTTTCATCCAAAATTGTATGTATTTTCTAGCCTTGATTACATTCATGTGTGTATCAATGCAATTGCAAAGTACACTTTTAATACTTGTAGAGTAAGAGGCCCAAACAGGGAAAAGAGCCTGGGGCCCATGAAAGTCCTGAGTGTCTGTGGGAATCCGGAGTTTCAGAATCATTTGAGATGCTTGCTGAAAATGCAGATTTATGGGCACCCCTCTAAAAGCTACAGAATCTGACTGCTTTGGGAGGGGCCAGTATTTGCAGTCTCAGCAGATACCTCAGGTGATTGGAAAACCAAAAATGTTTAGTAATCCCTGGCCCTAGAGTAGACCACTAAGACCTATTACAGGTTCAAGGTGGACTTGTTTCAGGAGAGGCTACTTGCTGAGATCAATTTGCCTTTCAGATTTACTGAACTAAACCAGCACTGCATTGTACCCTTCCTGTAATTTTCAGCCAAATATTAATACTCTTTTGAGTATCACCTGATGTTCTTATTTAATTGTGGTCTTTTATCAGCAGTGGTTTGTGTTCATTATCAGACACTCCTGTATTTGCCCTTAATAATAAAAATGTTTACCACCAAATGACATTTTCCAAGTATTTTACTCAAAAGAAGTAAATGACCTGTTTTTCTAGATTGGAGATAAAGGTAATATTTACTGACTGGATCACTGAACCTTGGTTCAGTGCACCCTGATATTCAGCCTTGTCCTAAGTTAACAACCACTGGAGAAGGAGGAGATTAGAGAGCAGGCCTCTCCTTTTCTATTTTCTTACATTTATTGTCAAGCCCAAGTTGACATGCTGGTGGCTGAACATTCCTAAGCAATAAGTAGTCTTTGCCAATCCACTTAAAGAAAAAATAGCAACAGCAAGAGAAATGTCAAGATGTCTGTGTTAATGAAGCAGCAACTGTGACCCTCTCCACCACCTCTACTAGCTGGGCAGGTGGTGTTTCTTGTGGCCTGGAAAGAGTACCTTTATTCTCCTAGTGACCCCTAGTGTCTGGGTGCACCATTTGCACTGGCTTTGTACAGGCATCAGCTCTGAACTCAGCCTACAGAGCTTCAGAAGAAAACTATGATAGAAAACAAAGCCAGGAGAAAATATAAAGGGGAGTCACAGATTGGCTGAGATGTTCCTGAATTAGTAACATTAATCTAGAGGTCATGTTCTGTAGTGGGAAGAACAAAGGGCTTGGAGACACAGGGGACCAAGATTCAGTTGCTGGCTCTGAAGGCCATTACCTAAGAGACTTCAGCCAAGGAAGCTTCTTGCACTCTAAACATCAGTTTCCTCAGCTTTAAAACGGGGATAAAATTCTTACCTCACAGGGCTGTTTGAGGAATAAAATAAATATGTGAAAGCATCTATTCTATTGGGTTGGCCAAAAAGTTTGTTTTTCCTGTAAAATAAAAGTTTTCATTTTCATCAATAACTTTATATCGATTTGTGTTGGGAAACGCCATGGCTGGTTTCAGGAACTGTAACCCCACCGACAGGCGGGAGGGCCCCAAGGCTGGAAATAATCAGGAGGCCTTGGAGAAACAGGCCCCTGAGGAGACATAACCTTTCCCCACTGGCAGGGGTGTACCTCCTTCCTCTCTTCTTGGCCCTGTGATGGTTGCTTGTTGATGACGGATAAATTTCTCTAATGCAGAGATAATGACCTAAGACAGACATCGACTGGTATGGGAACCAGACAAGAAATTGAGGGACACAGAGAAAGGGCAAAAAGGCCCGCACTCCTTGTCTCGGCTTGGACAGGGCCAGAGTCCTCATTCTATCTGAAAGAAGTCTCCTTGTCTCTTGGCGGCTCCCTCCCGGCTCCCTGGCTCAGGCCTGAAACAATACGGGAGCCAGTCCTAAACCAGATCTGGCAGTGCGCAGGGAAATAAGGCCTAAAAGTAAATTCTTCAAAGTATGCTTCCTTCTTCCCTCAGAAGCTCTAACCAGCTTATGCTGGGAAGGAAATTTACATTGTTCACAGACCCTAACCCTATACCCTTAGGCAGTCTTGTGTTTACTATGCCCTTCTGTTTGGTCATCTCTCTTGTTTACTAGTCTCCTCTCAGACCTATGCAAATCGGTGTGTTCCTGCCATTTGTTTTCTTCAAAGTATCATCTATTCTCTGTGAATATTAACATACAGATGTAATGAGATAACCTGTGCATTCCTGTTACCTAGCACCACTGATAACCTTTTTAGTAAAAGCCTTTGAACAAAGGGACTCTGGGCCTTCCCCACTAGGGGGATATTCCATGTCCCCTCTCAGGGCAAACAGAGAAGTGTTTGCGATGATTCCTGTTTATTCCCCACCTCCGTGACACACCCTGGATGGGCTCTGAGGGATTCAGAGTCCCCGGTCCCATCTCAGCTGGTCCTGGATGGTAACCCTTGGATCCCAGAGCACCGTGCTCCCTGCAACACACTCCGTCCCCCATGGCAGTTGTTGCCCTGACTGGGGAGGAGACGCAACCCATGGCGGTCCCCCAACATGCCACACGTAAGAGATTTGCATATTTTAGGTGTGTTACCTGTCTCCTACATGTTGTGGTGTTGATTGTTCTCAATGTCTTGATTTGATCGCTGTCAATTTCAGCTGGTCTGTCCGACCATGCAGCAGCATCCAGCAAGAAATCTCCAGCACGAGACCTTGCAAACCACCTTTAACACATTCAGTCAGCCACAGCACCTTTCCCATACACTGCACAAATCTTTTTTTGCATTTCAGTTGTGTTTTTACCTTTCTTTAAATAATAAAGCATAATATGCTGACAGCATTGCATATTTTTTCCATCTTCAATGTTAAAATGGCTACACAAAAATTCACTAATTTTGATGTTTTTAAAAATGCCTGCTGATATGACAACTGTCACAATACAATCTAATAAAATTGTGTCTAATGAAATTAAAGACAACGAAGTGCTACTACAGCCATCTTACAGAAAAAAACAAATGAACTCTTTGGCCAACACGATACTACCTGGTAAAATCTAAGTGCTCAATAGTGTTTGAATCTGAAATTTACTTGAGGAAATTAACAATGAACCTTTCGTACTGTCCAACAGATGCTGAGTTAGCACATTAACATGTTTCATTCCTTTGGTTTATTTATGCGCCTTTAAATCACCAAAAGCTAGGCTGCCAAGGAAAATATGCCATTTAATAACCTCAGAATTCATTTAATCTTAACATAGTAGAAGGTTTCACACTAAAGATATTGCAGGCTGTTATCCTACTGTTTTCACTGAGCAAAATTACCACCAAAAGAAGTTAGAAAAAGGCAGGTTTGGATTCAACATAAAAAGGACCAGTTGGAGCTGTTACCAGGGAGAGACTCAAGTCAGGGTACCCTCCCACCCCCGCCTCAGAGTTTGTTCCTCCGTTCTTGCCTTACTCCCAAGAAACAAATTCAAGCAAGAGACAACACATATAATGGAAATGAGAGAGCAAGTTTACTTATGAAACATGAGCACAAAGCTGCAAGCAGGCATCCTGCTAGTCTGAATGCCCCACATACAAAGGAAATAACAGTTTTTTCTACACAAGAGCTGAGACTACAAGTGGACACTCAGCTAATCTGAGTGCGCCAACCACTGGATTTCAGGGGTATACGCTTTAGTCAGCTGCTAGATTCCCCTCCTTACCCTTGCAAACCTTGGGAATAATGTACAGCTACAAAGGCTTTCTTTCTGGGCTTCTAAAGGCTCTTCATCTTAGTGCAATTGCTACAGAAGCTCCCTTTCCAAGCAGTCTCAAGGACTCTGCTCATCCTGCACTACCGGTGCTTGTGATGTTTGGAACACCCAGCAATCTTAGCAGACCAGGCTCCAGATTGCTGAGTCAACAGGTGAGGCAGGTCTTCCTCCTCCTCCTCCCTGCCTTAGTTTACTACCTATTCTACCTAACAGGAGCCACAGCTGCTGTGCTGCACAGGTCCATTCGACACAAGTCATTTGACCACAGCTCCTGGGCTGTGCAGGGCGCAGCAGCACTGCAATCCCAGAGTCTTGACTGGAGCTCCTATGTCATGGCCTGGGTCACGAAAAACACTTTCTTGTCATGGAATTTGTTCAATTTGAGGCAACGTGACAATAAGTCAAGGATGTTGAAGAAATGGTTCCTACTTGAGTAGGAGTTTGACAAGGCTTTTTCATTTTTAATTGGTTTATGAAACATTTCTGGAACATCTATTGGACAGTAGGCACAGACTCAGTCCAGAAATAAAAAATAAAATGAATAAGACACCATCTCTGCCCCGAAGAAAGACAGCAGTCCAACCCACTTAGTAAGATTGCTTCCCACAGTAATATGGCATCCTGACGTGATACCAGCTGTCTCCTTCAGAGGCAGCTGAAATTGCACAGCTGTGCCCTCTGCTTGTAAGATTAATGTTATTCTCTCCTTCCTGAATGTATAAACCTGTTCTTTTCTTCTGCATATTTGATGTCCATGGTTGTGGACACACAGTTGTAACTAAGTTACCTAGTTTAATTCTCAAGTTTACTGATTTCAATAATGGTTCACTCTAGCTATGAAAGAGAAACTGAGGAAAGCCTGATTTCAGTGGCAAGGATCCTTTGATCATAGAAAAAGCTGTTAAGAGGAAAAAAATCTAAAACTTTTTTTATAGTTACACAGATATGCAGATCAGCAATTTCAACCAGTGTGCCACAAGACTTCTTAAAACATTAAATACCTGGCTCTTTAGTCAGGGGCACAGACCTCTTTTCCCTTAGACTGTCAAAAAAAATGACAACAGCCAACACAACAAAAACAATGACAATAGCCTCTGGTGTGAATGACTCAAAATTATACCTTCTTTTGTCAGATCAGCAAAATAGATATATATATTTTTTTTTTTTTTTTTGGTGTGCCGCAGAATTTTAGTAATTAGTGTATGTGTGCTGAGAGATGAAAAAGGTTGATAATCCACTGGTAGAGATGAATAACGTCTTCTGTGAAGGATTCCAAAATGTTATTGAAAAGTAATGAGGTACTCTGGGTAAGTATGGTTGTCATAAAACACCACAAATAAACTTGGATTTTGCACATTATCTGTGACAGTGTCATACAGGTCAGTAGGATTTAGAAGGTCTTTTGGAGGAGGCACAAGTAATGATTGATTTCCACGTTCGTACAATCCAGTAAGTACTCGCACATAATAGATATGCTTCTTCCCATTTATGTCTGGTTTGGAGTATGTATTATTGGCAGAATAACTGGCATTGACAGCAAAATAGGTTCCCTTTCCATATGCCACAGCTGTGAAAAGAAAAACATTTTTAGGAATTTCAATTTAGTCTATAATTTGATGTGTTGACCCAATATGTCAAATAATATTAATATAATGTTCAATTCTAACACCTTTTTACAATTTTTTTCTGTTTTTAATTTTAAGAAATCATTCCTCCACCTCAGAGAGCCAGTGGGTCCCTTTGGGGTGAAACACGGTGAGTCTGAACAGACATTCTGGCCCTCACATGGCCATGAACCTTGAGGGAACACAGTGCAATCCACATGGTCCCTTAGCCAGTTCGGCTTCTCGTGGCTGCACCTCATTTGGAGCAGCCGCATTACTTGCTTCCTTACCATTCTTTCCAGCATAACTGCGGTTAAAACCATTTTTGTTGACATGTGGCAACGAGTTAGCATCTGTCCCATGGAAGAGCAGCCTCTCATTCTGTATATGTTTATTCTTCTCAACCATGTTTTTTTTCTGGATCTGGTAGGCTTTCCAGAGATGTGGATTCTGGATTCTCTCAATCTGCAAATCAATAAGGAAAAATATTCCATCAGTACGAAGAGCCCATGGCAAGATGGAGCAAATGAAATATGACCACTATTTTTTATAGGTAAAAATTACTATAAACAGCAAATTCAATGCCAGATGGCAACTTTCTGCACTCAGAAACCTTTTTAGATCCAGTTCAAAAATCAGACCTTGGAAAGAAAGTTGATTTAATTTTTTAACACCTTTTACGCACCACACGGCAGAAAACAATGTTGAGGATCTTGGACGACCAAGGCAGTCATACCCCTGCTTGCCTCTCTCCTCCTCAGTCCTGGGACACTGCACAAGTTCTAACCGTGGGAGAAGCACCAGCAGGGGTGTCCAATCTTTTGACTTCTCTGGGCCACACATTAAGTACATTGTGACATGTAATCACAAAAATGTTTCATACTGTTTCAAGTAAGTTTACAATTTTGTTTTGGACCGCATTCATAGCCATCCTGAGTCGCATGCGGCCCGTGGGTCACAGGTTGGACACCCCTGAGGGATGCCTAGGCAAGAAGGAAATGAATTGATGAAAATTAATCTCTTGTCCAGTTGGAAGAATGGGGCATGAATCCTGGTGGAAGAGAATCTGGTTGCAGACCACAGTGGCCAGGCTCTTTTGTTTTTTCTATTTTTCAATTACAGTTTATATTCAGTATCATTCTGTATTAGTTTCAGATGTACAGCAAAATTGTTAGAAAATCATGTACTTCACAGTGGTCCCCCTGCTGCTTCAAGTACCCACCTGGCCCCACACCTAATGATATTATTGAGGGTATTCCCTATGTTGTAATCTACATCTCTGTGGCTAAACTGCAACTATCATTTTGTACTTCTCAATCTCTTTAATTTTCACCAAGCCCCCTCCCCACAACCTCCTCTCCTCTGACAGTTGTTGTCAGTCTACTCTCTGTATCTGTGAGTCTTTTTCTATTTTGTTTGTTTATTTTGTTCATTAGATTCCACATATAAGGTAAGATTTCCTTCTTTTTTACAGCCAAGTAATACTCATATATATATATGTAACACCCCTTTCTTTCCTATTCATCTACTCATGGGCACTTGGGTTACTTCCAAATCTTGGCAATTGTAAATAACACTACAGTGCACATAGGGGTGCTTATATTCTTTCAAATTAATGTTCCAGTGTCTTTGAATATACTCCAAGAAGTGGAACTGCTAGATCATAAGGCAGTTCCATTTTTAATTTTTTCAGGAACTTCCACGCTGTTTTCCACAGTGGATGCACCAATCTGCATTCCAAGGTGGCCATACTTGGACCATACTCTGGTTTTCAGGGCTTATGGGAAGACTCCTTGGCTGTCGGGGTGCAGATCAGCTTAGAAACTTCCCTAATCAGTAGGTAGTGACAATTTCATAAAGTTGTCCCGGGAAAGAGTGAGGAGTGGGTGAAGGGGCTAGCCCCTCTTGGAACGACACAAGGTGAAGGTTCCACATTCTCCTAATCTCCTTCTACAAAACTCTCTGTTCTAACACTTTTACCTGCCTTCATCAAGTTCTTTTTTATTTTTTTCACTTTTGTTTTGGGTCTCCTACTTTTAATTAAGATACAGTTTGACCTCTAGCTCAAAGCCTCAGCTTTATCATGTATTTCATTAATCTGATTTGTGATTTTCAATTTTATTCTTCTTTTTACCTACAATTAAGTTTCTAACCTTTAAACTGCCTACTTCCATTTCATTTCTAGTTACTTTAAATTTTATTTATTTTACTCATTTTCCAAAAGCCTTAAGAATTTCTTCTTAAAGAGTTTTGAAATTATTCTTAAGTCTTTTCATTCTTGTTTCTCACTTTTTTGTTAGTGTATGTGCTGCTGCAGTGAGCACTCACCCTTCTCAAATTTTATAACCACACAAAAGAATTATTTTGAGTAATTTTGAAAACAGTAATCTGAGCCTTGGCTGGTGTGACTCAGTTGGTTGGCCCTCATCCTGAAAGATAAAAGGTCACCAGTTTGATTCCCAGTCAGGCAGGGTACAGCCCTGGGTTGCAGCCGGTTGGGGTACGTGCAAGAGGCAACCAATCAATGTTGCTCTCATATACTGATGTTTCTCTCCATCTCTTTCTTCCTCCCTTCCCCCTCTCTAAAAATAAATATAAATAAAATCTTTTTTAAAAAAATAAAACTAATCTGATTCTATATTCCTAGTGGGATAAATTATAATGTCAAAAAAACAATGCAAATAAATCTTAAACTTTACTTAGTAGGTATACTTTAGCAGCAGGCTTCCAGCTGTGACAAACTACTTGTATCAGATGAATCCTCTTGCCAACAACTACTAAAAGAGCTGGGGAGAAAAATGTCTGTTTCAAGGTAACAAGGATTTGTTGGGCCAAGTTCCCAGAGAGAAGGGCAGTGCAGAGTGAAACAGAGTCAAAAGAAAATAGAGTAACTTCTCCAAAGTGCTTAAAGAATATAACTGCAACCTAGAATTCTACACCCAGCAAAAGTATCTTTCAAAGAATGAAAGTAAAATGAAGACATTTTCAGCCAAACAAAAACTGACACTACCAGATATATCATGATAGATCTACACTAGAAGAAACAGTATAACCAGAAGTAAATGATCCCAGGATGTAGGCATGAAAATACAGGAAGAATTGAAGGGCAGTGGGGTGATAGGGTAAATATAAACAAATACTGTATAAAAAATTAAAAACATTTTATAGGGTTTCAAATATACATAGAATTAAAATACAAGTTAAATAGTAGTACAAAAGGCAGAAGGGGATAATTGGGTTTAAAATGTTCAAAGTTCATTGCATTGTTTGGGAAATGATAAATATACTAATCGACATTAGAGTTTGATACATCATGATACAGCACTGTAATCTCCAGGTAACCAATGAAAGAACTATAATAGACTGTATAATGAACAATCTAATAGGGCATAAAAATGGAATGATAAAAATGCATGGTGCAAAAGAAGGTAGAAAAAGAGAGAAAAAGGAACAAAGAGTAGATGTAATGAATAAAAAACAAAGATCAATATGGCATTGCTAACCCAAACATTATCAGTAAATACATTAAACAGACTAGCACTACAATTAAAAGATAAAGATTGTCCAACTGGATGGAGAAAAACAAAACTCAAGTATATGCTATTACCAAAAGATCTTAGAAAGTAGGTATCAGAGGGGCAAGGTGGCAGAGTAGTGAATGGAAATCACACTGACCTCCTCCAAGGACCAATATGGAATTACAACTAAATTGTGGAGAAATCAACTGGAACAAACATCTGAACAATAGTGAGAGAGAAGCCTTATAACCTTGGACAGGCAGAAGAATCAGTTTTAGCACAATCTGACTGGTAAGGAGTGTGGTGGAGACTTGAAAAGGCTGGCTGGGCACCCACAGACAGCACTGACAGAGGTATATTTAAGTGTCCAGTTGGATTGCCCTGAGAAGAGTGGGGTCTGAATCATAAGCAGGGATCTCCAGCCAACAGCACCAGAGCCCAAAAGGTACACAGGTAACAGCCATCTGTGAAAAGCAGCAGGGTTGCTCTCTCCCAGAGACAGGCGGCTGGAGATGCAAAGAGCCGTTTAAAAGGGCCAACGCATAAATTTGTAATTGCAGCCACTTACCCTGGGCTCTGACAAAGGCAGGGGCAGAGTGGGCTAGAGATGCCTGAGGAGAGACTGGGGACGGAGGCTTTGGGGAGAGAACTGAGAGAGTAGCCACCAGGATCCTAGTGATAAGTCAACCCCATATAGCAGCAACCGTCTTGCTCAGGCAGACCATGCCCCTGAGTGGCAGCAGTATGAGAGGAAACAATAGCCCCGCCCCCAGGAGGGACTCTTCCCTGGCCCAGTGGTTCTTAAGCCTGACTGCTGAGTGCAGAGTGACTAGATTAACAGCTGAAGGAGGCAGTCAAGGACAGTAGATTCTTGGAAGTCTTGAACAGACTGCCTGAGATCAGATGTGGTCAACATCTGACATAGGCAGAGGTGGATTGAGAAAGAAAAAATTAGTAAATACTAGAGGCTACTGAGACGAAATCCACTGTGGTCTTCTCCATGATTTGTGATATTTTCTTTACTACATAGCTTTTTAATGTTCATTTCAGGTCCATTAAGTTTGTACATATTAAGTCATTAGATTTTATACTAACAGTTTATTCTTCTCCTTTCTTATAATAGTCTTAATCTCTTGAAAGGCTTATTAATACTGATTTGTTTGATGTTGATAATTGGATTGCTGGGGGGAGATTTTTTTTTGGATGTGGGTTTGTTTCCTGGACTTTCTGGTTTTGTTCTGGCAGAAACTGCACAAAAACACAAAAGACATGGTGGGCAGAGTGATCCTCAGTCAACCAGCTGAAGGGAAGGACCCACCAAAGAATGACCAAACAACAATCAAAACCCAATTACATCCAGAAAGCCAACAAAAACAGCATAAAGGGAACCACAAGAGCATCAAGTCAGGAGATCAAGGAGACTGCACCACTAAATCTTACAAGTCTGCTATCATAGAAGCTTACACCACAATGTCAGGAAATAAAAACAGATCAATTTAAGAAGCAGAAGCAAAAAAGAAGAGCCTCTCAAATAAAGAGAAGACAAAGAAATGACCCCCAATAGAAAGGAAAGGAGGAATCCCCAGAGAGAGAACTAAATGAAATAGAGGCAAGTACGCTATCGGATATTGAGTTCAAAACAATGGTTCTAAGGAAGCTCAATGAGCTCAGAGAGCTGAGGGAGAATTAGAAAAAAACTACAAGGAAACTATGAGTAACTTACTGAAAACAATATCAGCATGAAAAAGGACATAGAAACTATTAACAAGAGGCAAGAGGAAATGAAGAATACAATTTCTAAACTGAAGAAGACAGTAGAAGGAATCAAAAGCAGACTGGATGAAGCAGAGGATTGAATCAGTGAGCTGGGGGACAAGGTAGAAAAAAAGCTGCCAGAAAGAGCAAGAGAATGAAAAAAAGACTAAAAGAAGAATAAACAGGCATTGA